CTCCTGCCACCCGCTGCTCCCCTCAGCAGTGTACTTCGGTCCTTCTGCCTGCTCTGGTCCCCACTCTGGCTCTGGTGAATTCTCTCACCCGCCTGCACTTCTGACTGTACCCAGTGTTTGTATAAATAAATAAATAAATAAATCTTAAAAAAAAAAATACTACCAGAAACAATGGATTAGTACAGTGAAGTGCCAGGCTAAAATATCAATATACAAACTTCATTATGTACTATATGCAAACAATGAACTTAAAGAGAAAGAAATGAAGAAAACATCCCATTTATAGTTGCATTAAAAAAAAACAACTTATGTTACTAGGGATAACCTTAACAAAGGAGGTGAAAGACCTGTACAGTAAAAAACTTTAAGACTTTTTTTAAAAAAAATAGAAAATGCAAATAAATGGAAAGGTATTTCCTGCTCATGGATTGGAAGAATTAACATTGTTAATATGGAAATCTTATATAAATAAATATATAGATTCAATGAAATCTCTGTCAATGTTAAATTGCATTATTTACAGAAGCAGAACAAATATTGCTAAAATTTATATGGAATCACAAAAGACCCCCCAAAGCCAAAGCAATTCTGACAAAAAAAGAAGAAAGGATGCATCACACTGCCAGATTTCAAACTACAGTACAAAGCTACTATAATTGAAATAATATGATACTGGAATACATATAGATACACACACAGATCAATGGAATTGATTTGAGAGCACAGAAATAGACCCACACTTAAACAGAGAGATAATATACAACAAAGGAGCCAAGGATATATAGTGGACAAGGAAAATCTTCAACAACATGCCACATGCAAAAGTATGAAACTTAAACCACTATTTCACACAATACATAAAAGCGAACTCAAAATGGATTAAAATCTTGAATGTGATACCCGAACCATAAAATACATAGAAGAAAACATAGACACAGACTCCACGATATTTGCATCAGATATGTCATTGGGAGGTGCATTCCAAAGGCTAGGGAAACAAAAGCAAAAATGGACAAATGGAACTATATCAAACTGAAAACTTTCTGCACACTGAAAGAAACTATCATTAAAAAAAAAAAAAAACACCCTACTGAATGGGATAAAATAGTTGCACATCATAAACCTGACAAGATATTAAGATCTAAAAAGAACTTATACAATTCAACAACAACAAAAAAAATTAAAAAACAATCCAAGAAGTTGACAGAAGATCTAGACACCTTTTCCAAAAAAAAAAATGCAGATGGCCAACCAGCATATAAAAATGTGCTCATTGTCATTTATCATCATGGAAGTGCAAATCAAACCTACAATGATATCACGTCACACCTGTAAGAATGACCCATATCAAAAAACACAGAAATGTTGGCAAGAGTTTGGGGGTGGGGGGGTTAAAAAGGAAATCTGTGTAATTTTGTTGGAAATGTAGACTGGTCCAGCTCCTAAGGAAACAGTATTAGAGGTTTCTCAAAATATTAAGACTAGATCTACAATTCAATAATTCCAATCCTAAGTATCTACTGAAAAATATAAAAACACTAATTCGAAGGGATTTATGCACTCCTATATTCATTACAGCACTGTTTATAGTAGTCAAGTTATGATAGCAGTCTAAGTGCCCAATGGCAAATGAGTGAATTAAGAACATGTGGTTCTCTCTTTTTTGTGTGTGATTACATTCCAAAGGCTCTCTCTTTTTTTTTTTTAATGAGATATCACTGATGACAGCACTGTATATGATTCAGAGGTATCAACAATTGGCACTTCCATCACCTTCATTAGACTTCCAGATAATACTAACATAACATAAAAAGCATGTTCTGAACCCCTATATCACACAGTTTTGGTAGATAAAATGTATAAGATATATTTCAAAATGTGGAGCTTAATCACAGGGAAATTAAAAAGCACCTCAGCCTTCAAATATTGAAAAGATACTATTAAACCATTTGCAGCTTTACTACTGCAGTTTTCTGCAAAAGTACAATTTTCTTACAAATTAAGTATGTATTTGTAAAAATCTCTTCTGAAGTTAGACTTAGATAAGTCATTTTAATCCTTGCTGTTTTATATAATGAATAAGGCAGTGTTTTTTATGTTTCATTCAGTAAAATTATGAATATTTTATCTGATCTTGGTATAGAATTAGACTCACTTTAGAAAAAATATGTATAGTTTACCATTAAACAGATTTTATCAAATTTATTATCCAAACACCTGTCCAGAGTTCTTCACATGTTTAGAATCTTTCTACTAAATGACATGTTAACTGAATATAACACACTAAATTTATAGATAAAAGCCTGGTCTAACACCTCTATATAGGATGGTGCAAGATGTATTTGTAAACTAAGACTGAAGTGCGTTGGCAAAAAAAATAAAACATTTTTTGGTAAATTTATTTCTAAAATAAGATCTTCCATTTTAAAAATGCAAAGAGAACAATGACATCACAGCATTGCACTCTGTAAAAAACTCCAATCGTGCTATATGTTAACAACCTTTTTCTACATAATAAAAATATTCAGGATTTATTGACTAACTGAGGCTGTTAGCTTTTAAGCTTTTATATTCTTCTCCTCCGTAGCTACCTTTTTAAAAATCATAAATCTTCACAGCGGATGGAAATATTATCTGACACAGTATTATAACTTGTTTATATTTCATAGCCTTCACCTCAGCTTTTATTTCCATGCACTCAACTGGTGTGCTACAACTCCTGGTCTCCATCAGAACTAGCCCTGAAAATTTCCAGACTAATGAACATAATGTTAAAGCAAACAGAGGAAGGTAGCCTGGGGTCAAGAACTAGTGGAAACGGATCATTAATAAATAGCAATTTATGTGAGTACATTGTCCTGCTCTCCTAGGGACCTCAGTGTTCTTCCTCAGTCCTTCCCCGGACTCGATGGTTTTTTTTTCCTTCTTCACTTTTCAGACCGCTGCTTCCTCTGTTCTCTTAAAATTACATGTGATAAGACTCTGAGAAGTGAAAACATGTATAATATCATGTATAAAAACTGACGTTTTTCAATTGGCATATGTAACTCCTCTAGTTCAATTAAAAAAAAAAAACCTATTTGCAACATGCTCTCTTTTTCTGCAGATGAACAAAGGAATACTTCTTTACTAACTCTGAAAGTAACTTGTCACAGTGGGATTCTAAGGCCTAGTCAAATAATTGTCTTAGTGTACTACCTGCTGTGTTCAATATTGAGTGAAAATGGAAGCTAGGCCCTAACTTCAGCTTATTTCACAATTCTTCTGTTATTTAAATGATTTTAGTCAGTTTGGGGGAAGCCAGACCTTTATAAATTAACAGCAGGGAAATACCAAAGGTGTCAGATTGCATATTTATCATCTTTTTCGTGTAATACTTAAATATGTATTAAGAAGTGACTGACATAAATTAGGCAGATTTCAGAAGCCACAGGCCGTGGCTTGTAGAGGACCCCCTTCTGCTTGACATTTCATCCTTGTCAAAGATCAAATTATTTTAATTTAGGCTGCAAATTATAAGGAATGAAGACTTCTTTGTGGGAATTCCCTGTGGTAATCTGACTTTTGTTGTTACTGCTGCTTGTCAGTGTGCAAAAGATATAATATGCATGCAAATAAGGTTAAAAAATATGTACTATCTAATTATCCAGCCAGTACATTCCACTTGAAGACAGTGGGAGGCCTGACACACAGTATGTGTTTGATTCATTGAGGCCTGCAGGGTATTTACACAAGATTACTTTTAATTATGAAATTAATATCTGTTTATCTAGAATATATAGCGGTAAGTGAGTATACACATGAGCAGAATTCTTTAGTAAAAAGAAATCATCTTAATTTAATACATGAAAAGGAGGGGAAAAATCACTTGTTTTTTTTTTGGGGGGGTTCATCATATAGACCTTGGTTTCACCCTCATTGAAACAAATTGAATGAAAACTTGGCACTTTCTCTAGAATTTATTTCTGGCCTTGCCAAGTGGACTCAAGATGTGTTACTTTTTTTCACTGTTTTTATATTCTGGTGAACCAGGTGCATTATTAGATTCAGTGTGATGAGGCAAATCTGGGGAAAAAGACAATTTTTTTTAATCATCTTAGTAGAGCATTATCTCTTCTAGGTTCAAAACCATGATTACCATGGAGAACGATGAAGTTAGCATCAATGATTGTTCTCTAATAAGACATAGCAAATAAATCAATCCCGCAGATATACTTCAACTTATGAAATAAATATCACTAACAAAGTTATTTGTAAAGCAAAGTATTAAATGTGTACAATGTGTACTTCTTTTCTCATATTGACTTATAATAGAAGTCAGGAGATGTTGTCTGGTATATAATTATAATAACTACCACTTTAGAAAACTTGAAAGAATAAATTGTAATAATTCTAAAATGCCATATAGTCTTGTGGTTTTCCACACATGTGCATTTGGGGAAATGAACAGAAAATGCAAAAAAATAAAATAACCAATCTGAATATCTCAAAGCATTGTCTGTTGGTAGTTTCCATATTTTTCATAATAAAGGGATATTGTCACCAAAACAAAACAAAATCGACTAGTTGTTTTACTTTTCAATCTCTTGTTCTATTGGGTATAAAATAATGGTGGGTTAGAGAATTATTTGGCATTTGGGTACTCTTGGCATTTCCCTCAGCCTGCCTGGTTCTTCATATTCATTTTGACAATTACCTCTTACTGCCTTTGATACTCAGCTTAGATTGAACTTATTCTAACCCAAGAATGCAGCCTTGTCACTCCAGTGTAATTTATAGTTCTTTAATTTTTTTGTTTTTTATTCTACTTTTCTCAAAAGTCTCCTAAGGTGCTTCTTTCTCTGTCCACAAAATAAGGCTGTAAGTTATGATTTTTTTTCTGCTTCACCAGTATTGCCTTGCAATATATTCTAAATAAGAGACAGTCATAATTTCTCTCTGAAATCTAGAAAAGAAAGATAAAATATCTCACTGTTTCTGTTTTCTTTTTTTCTGATCAGTGTGATGGAGTACAGATAGATTTAATAAACATCTCTCTGGAAGGAATTGCTATTTTGAACATACCGAGCATGCATGGAGGATCCAATCTTTGGGGAGAGTCTAAGAAAAGACGAAGCCATCGCCGAATAGAGAAAAAAGGATCTGACAAAAGGCCCACACTCACAGATGCCAAAGAATTGAAGTTTGCCAGTCAAGGTAAGTTTTATTAACAGTTAGTGGTTACTTCTTAATCTGATATCGAAAGGTATTTCACAATGAAAGCGTTACTGTGGTACTGTAATATATACATTTTTATAGTTTTTTTTTTATATTTTCACATATGCATAAGCAATTAAGATAACTAAATGGATTCTAAAGTCATGTGTAAGGTGACTTCATTTTGTGTGTGATTTTTTTTATCCTTTATTCTCCTTTTTTGGATATAGCTTTGTCCACAGAAATAAAACTTTTGTGGCTATTTAGTAGAAGATAATACAGGATACATCATATGTTAAATTCCTCTGTAATGTGGTCATCTTGATCAGGATGTTTGAGATGCTGTATCAAGGGTTTGATGAAGGTTTTTTTCTAGGGTTGTGTAGCAAGAATTTTTATTCTTGGCTTTCTTCAGTCAGGATATGTCATTAAAGCTAACTTAAATTAAGATCTTGATCTAAATACCATATATAATGTTATAGTTAAATATTCCACAATAAGTTTTGTTTATCTGCTACTATTTTTCAGTAAACTAATAACAAGTAGGAGACCTAGAAAACAGAGCAAATGACTCAAAATAGAATAGTGTGGTTCAGAATTTTCAACTCCCTTGTAATATTGAGACACAGCAACTAACTTTTGTTGATGGATTTTTATGAAGATATGAATTAATTTAATAATTGGTCATCCCCCAATAATTTGTGTGCATTATACATAACATTGCTTTTACCTTCCAGAATACATTTATTGAGTTAGAAAGACTTGTAACACTTTTCTTAAAATCTTTCTACTAAATGAAATTTAATTTTATTAGGAGTCTAGTATGTATTCTTTTTACCCTCCCAGAAAAGAGTGTCTGTAGTTTATGGAATCAAGTATCCAGCCCAACAGAGTAAAAATTTAATTCAAAATGGCTTTCAGTAGCCAAGAAAACATGTTGGATCAGCTCAGAATAGCAAAATATGAAAAGGTTACATATAGCCTTAAAGACCCAATAAAAATAACAATTTTTTAAATAAAAGTGAGTGTGGCTGGTAGGCATGGTGGTGGCAGAAAATATGTTTTGGTATCATCAGATATCAGCTTCAAGTATTAGTAGCATGCAATAACTTCTGTCATATGGAATTAGGTGACCATGAGGATAATAAAGATTGACATAGAAAGTATTAGTTATCCTCTTAAAAGAAGTGCTTATTACAATCTTTCAATGACAGAAGGTTTTTATGACCCTTAAATATGTAGGTTATCCTACAGAGGTAAATCCCAAAGAGTCCAATAATTTATTATAAGCAAGTTTACACCATATTAATTAAAATGATTTCTAATATAATAAATATAATTGTATGAAAACATGGAAAAAAATTTTGAGGTATTACTGGTTTATAACATTGTATATGTTTAAGATATAGGCTTTTTGCAGAAAAATACATTAAAAATAAACAGGTTTGTGCTGTGTTAATTTTAAAATAAGGGGCAATAGATGTCATTTATTAATTTTAGTAGTTGTTAAGAATAATATTGCATTTAAACATAAGATTAGTAGGTTTCTAAGAAGGTTAATAAAGAATTTGTAAGTTTGAAAATTAGTTCAAGGACTATACTAAGATCAAACCAGAATCGCTGCTTTCTCTCCCTAGGGAAACAGTGGGTTGGGGGGAGGGAGGAAAAAAGGGAAGATAAATAGTAATAATGTAATGCATATAATTTTAAGAGTTTTATGTATATTATAAATATAGTAATTTCCGGTTTATATATATAGTCATTTCCGGTTTGGTCACTACATACCAACACTTGGCATCTCCTTTGCATATATATTCCAGATAGATGTCTGAATTGATTTTGCAGTACTCAGCTGCTGATTGTGCTCACCCAGTAAGCTGTTGAAAGTTAATAGGACAAAAGACTGTGCCCCACCAAGACTGACTCTACACCCCTTACAGAGCTACTGTAACCGCACTCATCCCAGTCTGTATGCTTTTTTCAGGAATAGATATTTGTAATAAAGCACAAACAAATCAGACACTAGTTTGAAATCAAGCACAGGTAAATGAGCCGAAAGTATTGTCACAGACTATGACTGTGGGAAAAGGTTTCTCTCCCCAGCCTCTCTTCTTGCTTTCTACTTTGAAACTGTTAGGACCAAGTTTCAAAAAAGACCAGGAAAGAAGGAAATAGGATTATGCAAGTTCTGTGATTTAGAAATACCTTTCTCTCAAAACAAAGATGAGGGAAAACTGTATAAATCAGTTTTTGAAGGTCATTCTATGAGCAGTGACAGAAACACATATAAACTGAGTTGGCTCAACTTCCCACTTTCTTAACCCACTTACTTGTAGTTTCGGTTGTTTTATTTTTCAAAAAAGTATAATCTCATTGATAAAAATGACTGTTATAAGCTAACTATAAAAAATGGATTATGTATGTTAATTACTTTCCTTTTAATTAATTTTATCAAGAACAATTTTTGTTTTTTGTATTTTGCAAAAGAATAGGCAAATGTACTCAAAATGCTTGTTTTAACTTCAACTTTATTCTGTCAATTCTTAAATTTTACACTTTATAGTTAAAAATGAACTTCTTAAATTATCTGCTTGCATCATTTTCCTAAATGGCAATATTTCTACCATTTGATTTTTTAATTTCTTAACACAAAAACAATTTCTTGATACAAAAAAACAGTCAATAAGAATTTTCAGTCTAAATATATTTTCTAACTTAGAAGAAATTATTTCATTTTTCCCATTAGAATGATATATGGGAAATGCCATCCTAGTCCAGCAGGTTTATTTAACCCATATTCAACTAATATCTTTTGCTCTTAGAAAATATATAAGAATCAAAAAATCAATAATGTAGTCTTCCTCTTATAGGAAGCATTTTTTCAAAATACTAAGAACTTTTATGATGTGCATCTCTAAAATTTGAAGTTTGAATTAAATTTTTACTATTATGGAATAGATACTGTTGCTATAAAATGTAGAAAGTTTTGGGGAGGGCATGAAAGTATACATAATTAAATTCTTGTAATAAAGATAAATTTTATTTAGTAGAAGGATTTAAATTAAGAAAAATATTTACAAGTATTCTTAATTTAATGACATATTATATACTAAAGGTACTGGATCAGGTTTATAGTATTAAATCTTCATTTGTATTATGCCATACATGATTATGGATTCCTACACAATTTATTTGCTGCAAATTTTGAGGTTGCTTCACAGCATAAGATCAGAGAGTGTTCAATTAATAAATTCATGGATTGAAAATTTTACACTTTAATTTATTTGAGTTGACTGAAATTATCAGTATTTAATTTAGAGGATTATTCCAGCAGACTATTTTAAAACAATTGTATGCACTTATGAAACATATTCATATTCATGTTGATTTAATTCAATAGGCATTTTCTTTGTGGATTTGTCTTTTGTTTTCTGTTTTATTTCTTTATTTTAATATAAAAGGATGCTGTACACACACCATATATGTGTACATTTATACATTTACATATGTGGGGTGTGTGTGTGTGTTTAAGTAGCCCAATAGGTCTTTATTAAGGCTCTTAGCCTTAATATTCAATCTTTCCATTTCTTTCAGTTGCTGAGTTCATCTTTACTACCCCCTTTTCTGAATTAAATCCAGTATTCAGAAAGATGTCTAATAAATTTATTCACATTAATGTATAAATGACTGATTGCAGATGAAAGTAGAGGTATTTGCATTTGAAAAGAAATATAGGCCTTCAGCTAAACCATTATTTTTCAAATGGTGTTCCATTGAGTTATAACTGTAATTCTTCAGAGTCTCTGTAAAAACTTGATTCAAATTCATTATTGCCATATTTTGAAACAATAAAAATAACTATTATAAAAACACACTAATAGTGTTTTACAAAAATATTTTATCATATTAGTGATCTTCAAATCATTAAATTGTTACCAGACAAAAAATGACTTCCTCGCTTCCTTTTATTCCTCATCCTCTTCTTTCTTCCCCGTAGATAGCTTACTAGAGAGCTAGCTATATATAATAGATTACCTATCTATCTATCTATCTATCTATCTATACAAATACACATTTATATACATATGGATATATAAATAAATGTGACATTAATTGGAAAGTCTATAGCTCTACAAAGGCCATGTGAGAAATAGATACATCTTGCATATTTAATGAGGATCATTTTACAGATGAGCACATCACCATCACAACAATGGTAAAACACACTCACCATGGAAAAGGCAGAAAGCTCAGTTCCTTTTATTTGGCACAAGTAATAAACAGTGCATAAAGTCAATAAAACTGAAAATACCAATATTTTAAATAAAAATGGGACCCACTCTCAGAAAATTTTTTTCTCAAAATTAATTTGCCTTAGTTAAATAGCTCCCAAAAATAATAGGCTTGTGCTAGCTTATATATCAAGGTCAAGTTTGCGATTTAAGCATGCTGATAAAGATCCATAAGTGAAATTGAAACAAAGCTCCAGGTATACAGAACAAAATATATTGGACTAATTGGACCTTCGAATGAACATCTGAGACAGCAACTAATATCGTATCATAAATTATAATAATAATTTTAAAAAATTATATTAAAATAATTCCAGTGTGCTGCATGCATTCCACTTATGGATTTATTTTTATAGATTTATTTATTTTTATACAAGAGCTGGGGTACAGGCCAGAGGTGTGGGGGGGTGAGATGATTCACCAGAAACAGAGTGGGGAATAGAACAGGCAGATTGACTGAAATACACTGCTGAGGGGAGCAGCAGGCGAGTCAGGAGAGGTCTGCTGTGCCATGTGGGATTCTCACTGGCCGGCCGGGATCGAACCTGCACTGCAGAGGCTGGGGACAGTTTCACAGCGAGGCACTCAACCCGCTGTGCCACCGGGGAGGCCCTAAAATAATTCCTTTGAAAAGTATTTTTAAGTCAGCGAGACCTCTCAAATTCTGTAAGCAATTTTTAGTTATTCCATTGTTTTAGCTTTGAATAT